TTCTATAACAAAGTACCATACCTTAGGTAGCTTATAAAACAAAAGCAATTTATTTCCCACAGCTCTATAGTCTGAAGGGAAAGATCAAAGACTAACAGATTCTGGTATTTGGTGAAGGTCCCCTTTTTGCTTCATAGATGGTGCCTTCTTCTTGTGTCTTTACATAGTGGAAGAGGCAAGGCAGCTCTCTGTGACCTCTTCAATTGATGGAATTATTGTCTATGAGCCCTCAAAAGGGCAATAGTTCCATTAATGAGAGTGTCACCTAAAATCCCAACTTCTTCATAACATCACACTGGTGACCATGTTTCAACGTGAATTTTGGAGGGACACATATTTAAAATGTAATAATAGAAAATTAATAGAACATTTGGTTAAGAAAATAAGTAGGAGTTCCTAATTGAGATTAATTAAATTTTCAGGAAAGGCTTCTATAAACAATTCAATTAGAAAGAACAAGATGGTGAAGATTATGAAGAAAAAGAAAGCTGGATCTGCAAGAAATGAAGTCTGTGATATTGGAGTTTAATGTAATAAGAGAGGGGAAGATGGCCAAAGATGAGATTGGAGATATGGAGGGATGTCAGGTCACACAAGAACTTAAAAGTCAAATTAAGAAGTACAGCAATTTTCTTGATGAAAAGACAAATCTTTCAATATTTTTAAACAGAGAAGTATTATGATCCAATTTCCATGTTTCAAAGACCATTCTTGCTGTTAGGTAGAGATTAGATTGGAGGGGGTCAAGAATGAAAATGAGAAGACCAATAAAAACATAGCTACTATGGTCCAGGTAAGAAGTAATGATAGTGTGGAGAAGACGGAAAGTAATGGGAGTGGAAAGAAATGGAAGTGCTTGATAAATATATTGCTGGTAAAATGGGGAGGACTGTGAGTTAGAGGGAGATATAAACAATTAGTCCTAAAATTGTGGTTGCAAAAGAGATTAATGAGAATAGAAAGTAAACTCATTTGGGGGTAGGAATCTAAGTTAAGTTTTGAGCAAATTAAAATGCCTTTAAAAATCAAAATAATTATGCCACAAAGAGTAATATGTACATCAATATAGTGCTCAGATGGAATCTGAGCTGGAGATGTAAATTTGAGAATCACTGGAATAAAAAGAGAATGGAAAGAAGTACTCTCTCCTGAGAACAGTTTTAGCAGAGGGGCTAGGGAGGTAAGCAGGTGCCAGGCTGCAGTGGGTTGAGAGGAAGTTGAAGCAACGGATAACAGATACAGATTGTTCTTTCAAAGAGGTTGTGGAGAAAAAAGGTAGGGAGACTAAGAAAAAGCTTAAGGCAGATGTAGGGGTAGAGTACAGGTATTTTATGAGAAGAATTTTTAGCTTGTTTATAGGCTATGAGCAAGAGGTAATAGAAAGGCCAAAATTAGATATGTAAAGAGATTGGGGTGAGATGTGTGTGGACTGCAATAATCAATTCTCAGAGGAAGAAGAAAGAGATGGAATCCCAAACACAGAGGGCAGAGTCACCCTATAAAAGAATAGACATATAGGGATTAATCAGGATAGTGGATAAGGAAGTTCAGAAGATGGGTGAGAACACAGAGATTTCAGACTTGAAATGACTTCTGCATTTGTGAGTGTACTGGGACATGATGCAATCTGCTGAAAGTGAGAAGTGAGAAGGTGAGATTAGATAAAGATTTTCCTTAATTTGTGCTGCAGATAAAGGAGCAAAGGCAGGTGACCTCTCCACTATTGTTGCCCTAAGCCCTGTCCATTCCTTCACACAGCTGTGGCTATCAAACCTTCACAGGACAGTTTTATTGATCTCACATTCCAAATCTTCTTTAGACTAAATTCCTTGATTGATTTTTCTATATGTCATTAACTCATTTTATAGCATTCCAGAGCAATGAAGCTATTAATCTGCTCTAAGTTCAAGTAAATTTTCAAATTTAGCAAGAGTTTATGGCCTTCCAATTTTACTAGATTGGATGACATTAAAGATAAGCAAAACATCTTTAATTTGTCTCAAAAGACCAAACCCAGGAAAACATTTTCTCAGCCTGGGATGGGAAGAGCATACAAACCAGCAAATTTTGAAATGTCGGCAAATTTCCCCTCTGTTGATCACAATAAGTATGAACGCTTCAGTCTTCTATCTGTGGAAAGTTTACTTTATCATTCTTATTTTCCAACTGACACTTGAGGTTCTTAGTAATCACTTTAAAACTCGGTTATAGTCTTAATGCACTGTCAGTTCAGGGAGAACTGTCTCATAAGAAGGCACAAGCTTCTTTATGAGGAGTCTAAAAGAGATGAATACTAACTCAATATTTATTAATACTACCACATCCTGTACTTGGGTAAAAATAAGCAAAGCTCATTCAGACTCCATACTTTTGGCACCTATTTTACCATTTGTAATTATTACTCTTAAGATTTCAGATCTTTTTAGATTGTTTTCTCCATTGCTAAGAATACATTTTAAGCAAAATATTGAGGCCAAGTAATATTGATGCTGAGCTTTTTTGTTTGGTTTTGTTTCTGTAAAGCAATAGTTGAGGAAATTAAGACCTGCTTGGTTTTCTGTATTCACAAGTCACATTGTAGCTGTAGCTGTAATGATTTGAACCTTGATCTAAAAGCTAAGTTCTGCTTCGGTTTCTGAGATCAATTCTGACCTTTAACAGGGATAATTTTAAGAAATGTAGAACAGAGTTTGGTTGCATTCCCAACCTGGCCAGTGGCTCTGGTTGGCTCTACACTTCCAGTCACTATCCTTTGTGCCTTTATTTACCTTTTGATTGCAGGGTCCTGTGAAGGAGAGAGGAACACTAGGTTCTGATTCCCATTATACTGCTGTCCATGGCCTATGGTGCTGAGTAAGTTATTTTATTTCTCTGAATCTCAGATCTCTTAAATGTTGTTAGGATGCTTTCTTGGCAGAAGTGTTACACAATGCCTCATTTTAGTATGGCAATAGAAGGTAGATACACTCCGCTCCGCTTTCTCAGTTTCCTGCCTTCATAGACTCCTCATTACACAAAATTCTTACAGGCAGAGATTTCTGCTTTGTTTTATGTAAGTATTTTTAGGGAGTGCAGCTCCATGACCTGCTGCTGGGCACTTTGATAATGGTTATCAAGTGCTTATATTATTGCATATTAGCTGAGTTTATTGTCATTCTCACAGATGACTGATTGTATCTCAGTGAACTGCTTCAGTGATCGTCATGTGCTTGTCACCATATATTTTCTGACATTGTTTTATGATTATTTTGGACTATTTTGCTCTCGGGGAATTCCTTATTCCTGCTCCACAAAAGAAATGTTTAATTTCTACTTCATTTATTGCTTTTTGGTTATTATGATATGATAAAAAGACCTAAAAGTCATCTATTTTCTAATAGGAATAAAGAAATTTGCCAACTTAAAGGAAAATGTCAACTTATAATAATAGAAAAATTCAGAGTGCATTATAAATAACATATAAACTTGGGAGAAAATGCTGGTAATTTAAGAACTTGTAATTTACAACACAGAATCAATTCAAGTACCTGTCAAAATTTATTGCTCCTTTAGGGGAGTGATATAAACTATAAGAATTTTTAAACCATAGAAGTTTCAAGAGTTTGTCAGATCCTGTTGCTGTTCAGGAGGAGCCAAGATAAAAAACAACACAAATTCAATTGAAAAGTTGTCAAGGGCCAAAATTAACCCATATGTATGGACAATCCATGAGTTTACCTCTTTTAATACCAGTTTCAAAATAATGGTTTTATTTACCAACTTCTTTATATAATGAGCTTTGAAATTAGAATAGTTAAAGAATAGCTCATGCACTTTCTTGCTTAGTCCATTGGTAGTAGAGCAATATCTATGTCTAAATTTAGAGCTCTCTCTATAGAAGTGTGTAGATTTCTAGTTCTGTATATAGTGAAACTAGAAGATTACCATACTTGCTTAATAATCAGATACTAAGGAAATATATGTATTATTCAATAATACTGTAGGGTTATTTAGAATTTTTCCATTTTCTATTATCTTCTTGATGTTTGGATCTAGAAAGTACTTTAGATGATTTCAATGCACATATACTGATTCTTCACACCGAGTGATAGAGTAATGGTGTGAATTAGCTGCCACACTTTCTGCATCTCTGAAAACCAATGGATGATTTGTTTTGGGTATTAATAATCAATGGGCTGAAATACCTACAGGTTGATGCTGAGAAACAGGGACACAATGGTAATCAATCAGATTAAAACTTAGTGTTGGAAATACTCACTTTGTTCAAAAAGCAGTCACTGAAAAGCAAGCTGGAGGAGACAAACTAAAATCAGTCACTAGACCTGAAAGACATTAAGTCTTTGGCCCTAAGTGCAAGCCCCATGAGGTATCATTTATCATCTTGTTCTTCTGACGAATAGAGACTCATCATTCAACACACCTCTCTCACAGTGTTTCTCTAAAAGACAATTTGCAATCCTTTAGGTCAACAGATAATAGAACCAAAAATATTAACACAGAGTCTTTTCATATTGAAAAGATTTTCTCTTATATTAATGCAGCTTGGATATGAGAAGGCTTTCGGAAAAACTCTAAGAAAGTGAAATCATGTGTTTATAAAATTTAGGGCTGCTGGGTGTGTGTAATCCTGTAATCCAAGCCTGTAATCCCAGCCTGTAATCCCAGCACTTGGGAGGCTGAGGCAGGAGAATCACTGTAAGCTCAAGGCCAGCCTGGGCTACATAGTGAGTTCAAGGCCAGCAAAACTCGGTCTCAAAAAAAAAAAAAAAAAAGAAAGGCTAAAATAAGTGGATTTTCCTTAATCATTCAGAAAGATAACTTCATTAAAGTGACCCTTGAACCACTAATAAAGGAAAATGTCACTGAATGTAAATCCTTTGAGAAACTGTCAGGGGAGTGTGGCTAAAAATATCCTAGTACCAATTAACTCAATGAAAGGTTAAATTTAATTGGGTCAAGAAATCATCCCTCTTTCTCACTCCCCTGTACAGGTAACTTACAACTTTCTATCTCCAGGGTGCAGTTTTGCTCATCCAGAGGATATCTTCGAAGATCCATCATACAAGCAGCCGTGGTTGTGATCCTGCCAAGGTGAGAGAGAAAGAGAGAAGAAAAACCATAAAAGTTATGGCATTGGTTTGAATTTGGCCATCTTTGGCATTACAGGTTTCCTGACCCAAAAGCATGCTTACCAGATCATAGAAATAAGACATGAAATGTTGTGCGGTTGTAAAGAACTACTATGAACAATTACACTTGACTAGCGCAGGTTGATCACAAAATATGGTGACTAAATTAAGAAATTTATTGCAGTAAAAGACACATTGCCACCTCAAAATACTCCCCATTGTTTTGAACACACTTACCTTATATTTCTTGGCAATGTGTATATTACTTTTACAGTAATATTTTAAAATTTAAATATTCACTATATCTTTCAATTATGCCTTCTATATGTCTACAAGTTGGATAATCTAGATGAATAAGAGGAAATAGTTACATTCTCAGAAGCATACAACTTACCAAGACTATTTCAGAAACAAACAGAAAGCTTAAACACACCACCAGTAAAAATCAAGGAGATCAAATTAGTTATCAAAACCTTCAACAACAACAAAAGCACTTCAATGCCTCCTGACTTTGTGGGTGAATTCTACCTACAATTCACAGAAGAATTAGTGTTACCTCTTCTTATGCTTCAAAAATTAGAAGTGGTAATATTCCAAAACTCTTTTTTTTGGTACTGGGGATTAAACTCAGGTCTTTGTGCTTGTGAAGCAGGTGGCAGAACAACTGAGCTAAATCCCGGGCCCCCCCAATATTTTTCTGGGACTAGCATCACAGTGATTCTAAAACCAGACAAATGCAATGTAAGAAAATTATATGCCAAATTCTTGATAAAGTAGTTGCAAAAATCCTCACTAAACTACTACACCATGACAAATCAAAGTTTATTCCTAGACTGTAATGTATACACAACAAACACCATAAACCAAGATAAAAATACTCCAAATTCAGTGCAAGAGAAGTCAAGGGCAAAATCAATTAATGTGCTACTTCATATTAACAAAATAAAAAATACAGGATTATCTCAACAGATACTGAAAACTTTTCTTTTCAGATCTGGAACAAAGAGATACCTCATCTTCCTGCTTCTGTTCAACATAGTACTGGTAGTCTTAGCCAGAAATAAGGAAATATTTCTGTAGGTATTATGATCATACACAGAGAAAGCTCTGAAGACTCCACAAATAACTGTTGGAACTAATAAATGATTTCAATAAAGTTACAGTATACATAATCAATACACAAATCTTGGTAGTGTTTCTATGTATCAAACACTTATTGTCTTTGTCTTTTTGATAATAGGCATCCTAACAAGTATGAGGTGATATTTCATTGCAGTTTTGATTTATATTTTTTTAAGGAGTAAAGATGCTGGTTACTTTTCTATATGCCTTGACTTTTAAAAAATTTTGACGTGTTTATTTAGGTCTTTTGCCCATTTAAAAATCTAGTCACGTATTTTGGTATGGAGTAGTATGAGTTCCTTATATATTTTGAATATGAGCCTCTTAAGAGATACATGATTTGCAAGTATTTTCTTCTATTCTATAGATTGTATTTTTATTTTCTTCATTTTCTTTCTTATGCAGAAGTATTTTAGTTTTTTTAATCTCACTTGTTAATTTTTGCTTTTTTTGTCTGGGCTTTAGGTATTATATCTAAAGTCTTATTGTTAAGCCAGGCATAGTTGTGCATATCTCTAATCTCAGCTACTTGTGATGCTGAAACAGGAGAGAGAGAGAGACAGAGAGAGAGAGAGAGAGAGAGAGAGAGAGAGAGAGAAATTGGGAAATTGCTAAGACCAATGTTAAGAAGGATTATTACTATGTATTCTGTTAGTGATTTTATTGTCTCAATTTTTATGTTTAAGTCTTTATCCATTTTGAATTGATTTTTATGTGTAATATGAAATAGAAGCTACATTTAATTTCTTTTTTGCACATGGATATCCAGTTTTTTAAACATCATTTTTTGAAAATGCTATCTTTTATTATGTGTTCTTTTTTTTTGATACCAGGGATCGAACTCAGGTCCTTGTGCTTGTGCAACAGGCGGCGAAACCACTGAGCTAAATCCCTGGCCTTATTATGTGTTCTTGATAGCCTAACTGAATATCAGTTGACTATTGTATTGGTCAGTGCTCCAGTTGCTAGGAAAAAGATATCTGAGACCCACAACTTAAAAGAGAAAATGTTTCATTTGGTTCATAGTTTCAAAGGGTTTAGGCCATGGTTGGCAGGTTCAAAAGCAGAAACCTCATAGTAGAAGGGTTTGGTGGAGGAATGGTGCTTACCTCATGGAGGCCAGAAACAAAGTAGGGAAACAGTGGCAGACAGGAAGGTTCCAGGAGCCAGATATAGTACACTAGGTTATGCCTCCACGACCAACCAGACACACTCAGAAGTATGCTTTATTAATATCTTACCTGGCTCTCAAGATGATCAGTTTGACAATCTAGGTTAAATATTACAACTGTAAACGTCTGGTCTTATTTCTGGGTTCTTTATGCTTACTCCATTGGGCTGTTTGTGTATTTTTGTGTCATTACCATTCTGTTTTTGTTTATTGTAGATTTATGTTATAATTTAAAGTCAGGAAGTATGATGCATTTAGCCCTGATCCCAAGACCTATTGATATGAGGATAACTTGGAGTTTTTCATGCATCATCTTTACTGTATTGAGATAATTTCCTCTTATACTTTTTTTGTTATCAGTTTTTACAAAGAAGAGACATTGAATTTTTTCAAATCTTTTTTTTAATGGATCTTTTGAGTTGATCCCATGGTGTTAATTCTTCATCCTTGCATCCTAGGAATAAATGCTGCTATCACAGGAGTAAATCTCACTTAGTCATGCATGATTCTTTTAGTGTGCTCTTGAATGTCCTTGGTAGTATTTTATGAAGGACTATCTCACATTAATAATATAATTAAATCATTATTTGTCATAACCTTATGTCAATGATATCACAATAAAGCTGTGAAAATTTTTGTGGTTAACAATTTTTAAGGTAGGTAGGTTGGGTCGAGTCTTAGTTTCCTTCTCATCGATGATATGAGTCCAAGTTAGTTACTTATCTCCACGAAGCTCACTGCTCTCATCAATGAAAGCATCCAGTGATTAAGATTGGTTTGAGGATTAAGAGGCTTAATGTGTGCAAAGCTCTCAGACCAGTGCCCTGTACGTTTCAGGTGCTCCCTGTACATCAAAAGATGGCCAGCATTATAGCTGTTACTGTCTTACAGCCCTTCTCATATTCACTAGCATCCTAAAAATAGGTCTGGCAATATCTGTATATTTTATGAGTAGAAGGAATCTACATTATTCATCAAACCCTGCTTTCCTTTCTTGAGACAACCTAATACAATAACAATAAAACCAGTCTTCTGTAACTTATAGTGCCTCACATTCTCCATAATTAGATTTGTCAGATTCAGCTCTGAAACCCTGCCCCACTTACACTCAGCAGGTAGTGAATAACCAGGAAAGAAACACTGTCCTGGAATGAGAGTTTATACCATATTTATCAGCTAATTTGCGCTTAGCTGATTATGCTAAACTCTGGGAGACTGATGCCAGGTATCCCACCTATACTACTTTATCCCTCCATTTTCTCTGACTCAGGATGATTTCCTGGAGTGTGACGTCTGAGAAATCCATATGGTTAGTCCACTTTTACAAACTTTTTATGTCGCTTTGGTATTGGAAACATAAAAATTTAAATGGACCTCCCCCAGAAAATGATCACTTAAATAATTCAAAAGATTCACATTTCATAGTATCTTTCCTTTTTACTTCAAGCCCCGGCAGGTACAACATTTGAAACTTTCTAGAACTACTCTATGAAACAGAAGATCATCTATGTCTTCTTAGTGGAAAAATTCTTTCCATAGTAGCTGAACACACATTGTCTTGTACCTTGGTTATTTTCTTTAATAATGCATATTAGATTTGGTTCTATGTCAGTAAAACTAAACCATCTTTAAAAAATGTGCTATAATATGTTCAGCTGTATGGAAATATTGTAATATATTTTTCTAATCATCCTTTAGTGGGCATTTATGTTGTTTCTTATGTTTTACTTTTTCAAATGAAAATGCTTTGAATATACTGTAAAAATATATTATGTACTCTGTATGTGCATAAAAATATATTCCATACTCTAACTATAAATATGTGCATATATACAAGTATACACGTATTTACTCATTTCATGTATATATATATTTGCATATTTAAACAGTTGTGAATAACTTAACAACAGGGACACATGCTGAAAATGCATTATTAGGTGATTCTGTCACTGTGCAAACATTACAGAGTGACTTCCACAAACCTTGATGATACAGGTCAGTCAATTGGAATGGTCTCTTGATGCAATCCAGACACAGTAAACATGAGCTGCATAAGGCTGCTGTCCATGGAACAAGACATACTGTTTTACAGTAAAAGTTTTTTAATGAGTAGATGGAGCATGCCTCTAAAATAATAATCAAAATTATAGTAATGAAGAAACCAGTAACAGGGATTACTTATTGTCATTATCTGGTATTATATTATCTGGTGCTCTATTTTTTTTTGGTATCGGGGATTGAACCTAGGACCTTGCATTTACACGGCAGGCAGGGTGCCACTGAGCTAAATCCCCATCCCTCTGGTGCTCTATTTTTATATGACTGGTAGCACAGTAGGTTTGTTTACATCAGTATTAATATGTGAATAATAAGTTGTGATCCTTGACTGTGATGTTAGAACAGCTACCACATCACCTCACTGGGCAGTAGCAATTGTTCAGCTCCATTATCATTATGGATTCACTGTTGTGAGTGAAACCTTGTTTTGTGACACATGACAAATTGAAATAAACTTTCTCCAACACCTACACACATGTGAAGATTCTCTGAATCACATCATTCTTTTGAAGTTGTCAGGATAAGTTGACTGATTTGATCATTATATTAACAGGAATACGGATGCTTTCTTCTTAAAGATATTATTAGAAAAACCTCTAGCCC